CGCGAACAGGGTCTGTCCGACGGCTATAGATAGCAGGTACACTCCCCCGTAGACATCCGTTTCGCCGCGGACTGCGAAGAGGACAGGCAGGAGGACGGACTCCATCAGCTGGCGCCTCGAGGAGGCTTTCGGCATCAAAGCGGCTCGTCCCTCAAACACGCACGATTATGGGTCAGACTCGCTCGAGCATGGGGTGGCCCTTGGAATTCCCTTGTCCTGCTCTACCTGGATTTAGGGCTTTCAAACCGAGTCCTCTCCTCCTTCCCCAGGTTTCCCTCCCTTCCGGGATTTCCCGGGACACGTATTAATGCAGATTTCATTATGCACGCTACCACCCAATACACAACCATAATCCAGCGATGCGCCGTGTTTACGCAGCCAAGATGCCGCTCCGCGGCTTGAATTATGCGCGTCCCTTTGACGCGACGGAACTATGCGAGCCCTTCACCGCCGTTGATTAATCGCCCGGCTTTTTAACGCGCCGTTGCCGCTAACGACCTCACTGTTGCATTTGAATGCAAATCGTGCAAACTCGTGCGGTACACTTGTGTGCATGGAGCCGCGAGCTGTTAGCTCTGCTCGATGGATCATTAATAAATAAATATTCATCCCTTCGCGACAGACACGTGACTTTGGATGGATATATATATATATATATATATATATATATATATATATATATAGAATATATATATATATTTTTTTGTTTAAAAAATATATTAATAGATATATAGACAATATAATCAATGAGAAATTTGACATTTAATTTTGTAGCTTCGATTCACTAATACATATCGGTATGTCTCTATTGAAAACAGTCTCTCTTCTGAGAAGAGCGAGTAACTTTTGTTCGTCGAATACACAGATGCCTATTGAGCACTCGGCATTATCATACATCTAGCATGATGTATTGTGTATGACGATATCGAATCTATATGTATTTGCTCTCCCCGCCGAGGAGTACTGAATTAATAATAAATAAATATGTTACGCTCTCTTTATTGACTGTAACACTACCGCGCGAATTATCGTGTTGTATTTCCATCTAATATAACACTTTCCCAATCATCTCTCTAATGTTTCCAAAATTCGATACGGCTCGAGTATGATCAGTATTTGCTGTTGTCTGAATACAATTATATAGATGATCATCTAGATGAAATATTGGCATCATGTTATATAGATAATAAAGATATATATTATCTGCATCTGCATCTTAAATGAAAAAAGTATCATCTTTATTAAATTATCCAGAATAATGTTCAGACAATTTGGTTTAGAGTCATAACACATAAAAATACTTGAACATTTTTATTAAGTAGCAGAACTTGAGCAATAAGCGATAAAAACTTAAAAATATGAATATGAATCATTTACATTTTTAGATATATTTAAAATCAAATCATCTTCATCTTATCTAAGATCGACTCAAAATTTACATATTTTTATCTCATCTCTATCTAGTTAATTTTAAAATCATCACTTTTCGCGCGCGAGTTAATTTGAAGAAAATCCTGTAACGCGCAGAATAAAACGAGACTTTTGAAAGAAAGTATTGAAAAACGAATTCTAGATAGTTTTCAATTCTATCTTTTTTGTTACCTAGCAAGATTTGTGCGCGACAAATCCCTGCGACACTTGAGATCAAGATCGATCTGGCGAGCGGGAAAATATCAGATCCGCTCTTCTTGCGGCTACGAAAATTAATTCACATATGCTCGCATAGAGTCGGCGGCCCGTATAGAGCGGCGTAAGCTAGACGAGAGGTGGTAGACCGTACGATGGTACGTGACTGGCTTTGATTCACGACGCCATTGAAAGCCCGTTCCTCACTGAGGACGCGCGGATATAATGGGCGGCCGCAATTCGGCGCTTATTTTCCTCGGTGTCTTGCAACGTATTAATCGTAACTCCCTCTTCCAGTCGCGTAACGCTCTAAATCACGTATTTTTATAGACGTGACGGAAAAAAAAAGATGCTGCGATATGCACGTCCTTTGCGAGAGCTACTTCTTGGAAATTCTAAACTCGACAGTCGCGTCAAGATTCTACTTGGAAACTACCTATATATGTCGAAATAAAAATATATCCCTAAGTTGGAAACTACGTATCTAATTTTCGTATCTCAGATATTAGATATTTTCGACTTCCTTTTCCTTCTATTCATATACGACTCATATCATACACGTACGTATCTAGAATAATATATATATATATATATATATATATACAATATATATGCATATGTATATAAGAAATCGATATGTTCTGGATTTATCTCGTGACATCCTGTCCTCTCGTGTCAACTTTTAGGACGAATGTGATCTTATTTTCAAATAGAAATAACTTTAACACTGTGTAAAAATAGAAACTTTTAGAGATTGATTCTTTCTCAAAATCGATAATGCTGAAAAAAGTGTTAGCATTAAAGAAAGAAGTTTTGCTTAATAATATTATTCGATAAATGATTTACGATGTTACACAATTATATAGGCATTTATTTTATTTATTGTGTCTTTATATATAGAAAGAGCAAAAAGAGCTTTTATCAGAATTTTTCTATAAATTAAACTCAATATAAAATGCTGCATTAAATAAAATTATATTTATTAGTTTTAATCAGTATCAATTATCGAAGCAATTAACATTACTAATTGTAAATTTAGCAATAGTTAACTGTGAAATCGTAATTAAATTATGTTTTCAAATTATTAATTTCAAGCAGATTCAAAAAAATAGCGGATAAAAAATAATTGTAATTATAAATTAGTGATCAAGAAGATAAAATTATCCAAACATACGACATAGACACACTGGTGGAGATTAATTTTCATCAAAAATCAATCAAATCAAATTAATGTGTTTTAATATTTAATAGCGAATAAACAAAACTTGAATTATTCTGTATACAAGCTATAAAATAAGTTTTTTTAATTAGTGGCTTGTTTATTTAGTTATATTTGTGATATTTGAATTAATCCCAGACATTTTTAACTTATTATAATTATCTGAAAGAGAAAAAGAGAGAATTTTGCAACCAGGAAGCTGGTTATTATTGGCATATTAAATTTTACGTACACCAGGTTTGAATAAATGAAAGATCCGCGTTGGAAGATCGTATCACCGATTCGACATCCTACAAATGCATTTAGACTTCTTGATTATCGATTCTCGATAATTACCCCCTGGTCGCGCGGATTCATTAATCTACCTTTTTTAGTCATTAAGAAAAAAAAAACCTGGAGAAGTATCTTCCGACTTGCATTTACGAGAAGTACTAATCGATATTACATTTCCGTCGATTCAACCGCGCGCTCGCAACTTTCATTTTTTAGCAGGCTTGGTAATACCACTCTCGTGTGGAATCCGTTCGCCAACATCCCATTGCGACTTTTTCCATCGTTATCCATTTTTCGAAGGCTATTGCGTGTATTTTCATTTTTTATCATCTCAAGGGTATCGCGTTTATTTTTATCAAAATACTCTATAAAGCTAAATTTATTTAAAGATGTTTTTTCAAACATACGTAATAATTGTTTGATAAAATGTTTAACAAAACGTTAGGGGAAAAATATATATATATATATATATCGTTACGATCGAAGGCAAAAATGGAATGTAACGAAAATGGCATCGCGCGATTCCGCTTTTCCGGTTTTAGGAGCTTAGCGCATCGATGATAGCGGATCGCGCCATTATTTTGTGGATTTAAGAAAATTGAATTGCGCGAGAGGAAGCGAGTCGTATGAACTGGCTTTTCAAGAGGAGAACTAAACGGGTCACAGTTAATTGGGTCGCCGTCATGTCCCGTTTAACGAATGTTTAATTTGTCTCGTTACGATGCCGGCACGTAATTAATTTCAATTAATTATATCGTCACTCCCTGGGTCATTCTCCGCTCTCGTTTTATGGCAATGATTTTGCGTACCGCTCATTCGCGAATAAAATCACGTTCGCCAATATGTAAAATTTTACGAGAGATCCGTGCCGTTTGTACCTGTGTGTCACAGCCACGGGCCTCTGACTACATTGCGGTTATAATTAATTGGCAAACTGCAAATTACATGATAATCCTAATTATTTGTCGCTTTGTAAAGCGATTGTTGCGATAATGGCGTGATTAGGATTTCATGATTGTCTGTACCGTATTTGTGGTTGGCTTAACCGAAAACCCGAGAGGTTGCAGTTGTAAGTATTATTTCATTGCAGAGATGTACATGTGCAATATAAACTGTAATTAGTTAATAACGCGAGCAATTACGTAAATCTCTACGCAAATATATACGCAGTTTTCGCTCGAAAAATGTTTTTTTGCGTTACTTACCGTAAAAAAATACCTTATTTATTTATAAAAAATATCGATATCGGTTTTGTAATCTCTTTATAGTAATACCTAATAAAATGCTATTTCGTACAGTTCTAATGCCCATATAGACTTCTCCAAAGGAAAAGAGAATCTATTATGAGCAATATGGGCAAATTGATATGTACGTATATAAATTTGTAATTAACACTCGAATTGATGACCAAAATGGATCGCCACAAACGTGAACGATACCTGTAGACTAAAAAATGGAAGCACTTAAATAAACGCGACAGAAATTTGCGATTCGATTAACTAATAATCCAACAATGTCTTTTATTTTTGTTATTTACAGGTACGAGATTTGATTTGTGCAGTCAATTTTGCAAGAAGAAAAAATATAATCAGACAGAAGTGAATATCTTTAAAATTGTTAAGAAAGAGCTGAAAAATATCTTATCTAATGTAATATTTTACGCAAAATTCTAAAATTTTACGAAACCTTATTTATATTATAAACTGAGAGCGTATGGTTTTTTTTATTAAAATCAATTAGTGTATTTAATTATGATATTCCACCCAGCGCACAGATTTAATTGACAATTTTATTCGATACGCAGTATAATTGACTGTTATTAATTCATATAATCAAGCCTTAGAATCTTGCAATATTTTTATATTATATATGTATTACTCACCTCGGCGGGAAAAGCATAGTTATTAATACGATGCTCGGAACCATGACCGTCGTCCAATCCGTAGTGAATGTATATTTCTTCGAACTGATAGTGATAGGCAAGTGGACCACCCGTTATATTGACTCGTACCTTCGCTTCCCTGTCTGCTCTAAACACCAGGAACTGGCCGGTATTGTGCAAATGTCCGGAAATCTGAAAACAAAATAAATCGAAGCTCGTTAGACTTATTATGTTTGATGCAAACTTGGCAACTATAATTGATAATTGAATCTATAATGATATAATCATACCATTATAGATAAAGATAGAAAAATATCCGCTATATATTTTCAAAATGTATTTCTTGATATCAAAATATTTTTAAATATTATCAATCACTTAATGATAAATATTTTATTGTTTTTAAGAGAAAATAGTACAAAAAATTATAAAATTTATGATAAATTGCAGTCATAAAATAATGGAATTAGAACATTCAGACAAATTAATTCTTTTTTAATGTAAATGAAATTTTTCCAAGTGGCGCGTATTTTATAAGCAGAATTTTTAATGTTAATTCCATGTACTTTAAAATAGAGATTCAACAAACAATGACTTTCGCCTTATCGTAATGAGCTGCATAAGAGCGCGGTTGCAAAGATGTCTACAAGAAAGGGCGGCAACTCGTCGTCCGCGGGATAATTGATTAAGCATTTAATTGGATGGAATAGCAAAACCAGACACGGTGCCATGTCGCACAGGAGCTTGGCAAAGTGCAAGACGAGGCCGGGGAGAAGTCCATTTTCTTGTACGTCGCCGAGAACCTGAATTATGGCATCATCAGTTAGAAATAATGAGGTAACCTCGGGGAGAAGCCAGCCGCGAAAGACACGTCGGCAAAAGTCGTCGGGAGATAACTTATTATTTTGCAATAGATTTTTGGCCTCTCCTTTCCTTGTTCTCCTTTTTTTCTCGCAGATTCTTTTCTGCAATCTTTCTTTTAATATCTTAATAGATTAATAGAACGTAGAATCATCTCAGCTTTTACCAGTCTCTTCGAAATATCATCTCTTACAAACGCATTAAAAAAGACCGCTCGTATTGTACAATAGCTATACTCGCTATATATATATATATATATATATATATATATATATATAATGTTAATAATCTTTTATAAGATTATTTTTTAAAAACTCGATTGTTTAAAACAGCATTTATAAAGGAAGATTTTAATAACGATGATTTGATTTGATAAATTTCAACTTACAGTAAAACCACGACGCATTGTCTTTCTTAAATTTAAACAATTCCATGCTAATCTCACTTTCCTCGCCGTTGTTTCCTCTTGAATTCATTAAGAAATCGGCAAAACGGCCTTCCTTTCTCGCGATGACAGAGAGAAATGAACATGAGCAGGCGGCGCGTGGGTAAAGGAGAAAGTCAATGGCGCATAACTCATTATTTCGCGATAGATTTCCACCCCTTCGATTGCCCTCGGGAATAATTCGTCCGCCCCCTTCAGCTTTTTTGCCTGCCCAAGTTCCTTTTTTTTTTTCCTCAGTCTCGTACCGTCTTCAAACTTGGATCAATGGAAGCTAAGAGAAAGAGAGAAAAGAAAGAAAGGCAGGGAAGAAGAAGCGAAACCGGAAGAGGATTCGCGGCGGAACACGATAGTTCCGTGCGATCTTGAATGCTCACAAAGGCCGTCCTTCTTTCGACGAAACTCAAACTTCGCTCGAGGGTTGGATCATCTTCCATCTTGGCGCCCCCAAGATTCGAAGCTTTCCCTCTCGCCGGAAAGTCGTCCGCCTTAGTCCGAACAATCGTCATTGCACATTCTGGCGACTGCCGTTTTGTTCCCGTACGAACTGCAGAATTCATGAGGGAACTGGGATTGAAAGAGACGAGGGTTGAGAGAGAAGGGAAGACACACCGAGATGTACGAAGCGCGTGGCGTCAAATCTACTTAAAGTTCATCGATTTTCGCGGCCCGGCAATGTTTTGCACACTTAATGCCCGCCTACCTTCTCTTTTCAGATTACCGAAATGCGCCGTTGGGAGATTTTTTTATTTCATTACACATCAATAAATCTTGTTTTTTAATATTTTTAACGAGCCTTTTTTTGAATAATTATAAAAAATTATAGAATTATGCGCAAGTTTCAAATAATCTCAGAGTGTTTCTCATTTCTTCAATATTTTAAAAATTATCGATTTAAAGTCTCTCGTTCTCGACGACTATTATAAGATTCCCCAAATTCACTAAATTCATTGAAAACCTTAATTTCACGTTTTAAGAATTTTGACACCTAAGAAAAATAGATACCTTGTCTCTACCACCGCACGCGAATTGTTTGCAATAATTACATACATACGCGTGATTATTAAATTCGGCACCTTGCTTTATTCCACTTGGAATGAATTTCTCCGGAAATGCACCGTTGGGAGATTTTTTATTTCATTACACATCAATAAATCTTGTTTTTTAATATTTTTAACAAGCCTTTTTTTGAATAATTATAAAAAAATATAGAATTATGCGCAAGTTTCAAATAATCTCAGAGTGTTTCTCATTTCTTCAATATTTTAAAAATTATCGATTTAAAGTCTCTCGTTCTCGACGACTATTATAAGATTCCCCAAATTCACTAAATTCATTGAAAACCTTAATTTCACGTTTTAAGAATTTTGACAGCTAAGAAAAATAGATACCCTTGTCTCTACCACCGCACGCGAATTGTTTGCAATAATTACATACATACGCGTGATTATTAAATTCGGAACCTTGCTTTATTCCACTTGGAATGAATTTCTCCGGAAATGCACCGTTGGGTGATTTTTTATTTCATTACACATCAATAAATCTTGTTTTTTAATATTTTTAACAAGCCTTTTTTTGAATAATTATAAAAAAATATAGAATTATGCGCAAGTTTCAAATACTCTCAGAGTGTTTCTCATTTCTTCAATATTTAAAAAATGATCGATTTAAAGTCTCTCGTCCTCGACGACTATTTATAAGATTCCCAAAATTCACTAAATCCATTGGAAACCTTAATTTCACGTTTTAAGAATTTTGACAGCTAAGAAAAATAGATACCTTGTGTCTACTACCGCGAATTGTTTGCAATTACATATGTACATACGCGTGATTATACTAAATTCGGAACTTTACTTCATTCCAAGTCTCTCGATCGATCTATCGAGAAAAAGAGAGAGAGAGAGAGAGAGAGAGAGAGAGAGCCACGGTAGGAACGGAAGTTTGTCTTGATCAGACAAACTTGTAGTTGGAACGAATAGAAATCCGGCTCCCGCGTGAAACTGGAAATCAAGGCAGTTGAGGATTAGTCGGAACCTTCCACGAAAGACCTTCAGAAGCTGGTATACCGCGGCGATGTTGTCCGATAGTAATTAACACGAATTAAGCGGCCACCGGGTAGAATCGTCCAGAGCACGCGACTCACATTTCCGCCGTGAAATTCGTAAAGCTCCCTCGCGCGTGTCCCTTTTAACGCGAGTTAATCGCGACAGTCCGTTCTGTTTATACGGGCGGTTTTAAGACGATTTGCGCAACGCGGATAGCTTCTTACAACGTTTCTACGATCAGGGTTTATCGAAACGTGCCGCCTAGGTATACGTCCGGGAATTGGCAATTCCGACGCGACGTAAGAGAACGCGCTCGTTACAGCTTCGATTATGGCGAGCCGGCGGGATATTCGATATACACATACGATTCGGGGTGCACAATTCGCCGGTTTCGCAGGGGATTGTTCGTGCGAAGAAACGTACTGCGGTACGTATCGACGGGCCGTTAACGGCGGCTTTAGTGTGCGCCAGAGATAGAAGTAGCTCGTAAAGGCTGTTCCCCACCGGAATCTACTCGATCACTTGTTGCAATAAAATTACGATAAAATGGCGCGTCGATGTACAGGATGATTCGACGATAACTTGCGAATTTTTTACAGTTTTTTAAAGGAGTCATTTTTAGTTCACCTCTCAAGTTTGATGTAATAATTTTAAAAATATAGTAGTCAGCCTATCGAATCAATTATTTATTTGTTGAATGTAATTATTAATATGCTTTAATTTTTATTGTGATTATTTTCAAATATAGCCATAAGATTCTTCTCTATTTATCACATGTATCGTTATATATATTTCATAAGATTCCTATATCTATAATCCTGTTACGAAATATTGATAATTACAGTAATTTTTATTTCACCTCTCAAGTTGATATAATAATTTCAAAAAATTAATAAAGTTAGCCCATCGAATCAATTATTTACTTGTCCAATTAATTATTAATACATTATTTGTTTTATTATTATTAATTCTTCTCTATATTTTAATTTATCATATATATCGTTATATATTTCTCATAAAATTCCTATCTATAATCTTGTATAACGAAATATTAATAATTATAATTAAACCTCCAAAATTGTTTTTATAAAGCAGCGGCCGGAGAGAGATCGAATAGGAATTGTGCGAGGAGAATTAAGTTTAGTAAAAAAAAAAAAAAAATATGAGCTTCTACCGCGAAATTATGGTGCCCACGACTGTGCTATCGCTCTGTGAAACGATCTATAGATACGTTTCCGCAAGCAAACTGGCCACGAATGGACCCAGGGAGAGAGAGAGAGAGAGAGAGAGAGAGAGAGAGAGAGAGAGAGAGAGAGAGAGAGAGAGAGAGAGAGACGAAACGATTGGAGCAAGCTCCGCTGAGCCGAAGACGTACGTTCGACTCCAGGAGGCGCCAGGGCGCGCGGTTCGTTCTATTGTTTAATTTAAGTGCCAAAGTTTTAACCGGGTTAAACGGCGTATAAATTCACGAGGCTCCCTCCCGGTCTCGCACCACTTGGTCTCGTACCAATGGGGGTTGGCGTCGGCTATGAAACGGCCCGAGACCGCGTTTAAATAGCGCGGGACCAGGTGTGACGTCAGTGCGGTTTCCGTCGCGCCAAGCCCAGTTTTGTGTTTCGTCCCCTGCGCTTCCTGACACATCGAGAGTCCGGCTCTCGCGAAAAGCCGAAAGATTAATATCTCTTTCTCTCTGTATTTTCCTAAAAAAGAATTTCACCGAGAACAAATTTGCCCATTTTACCTTACTCTTGATTCAATTTCGTTCTTCTCTCCCTCCGTATGAGAAATCTCTCGATAAAATACAAAATATTATAATAAAAATGAAATTCCGTCGTAAATAAAATTGTCGAAATTTGGAAGACACTTCGCGTTTGTCGCCGCGTGTGATTTTCTCGGTGCGGTTTTACTTGTTTCAATGAAAGAGGTATAAGGGCGCATCGTCGTCGTCGTCGACGTCGGTTAACAACGCGACGAAAGGTAACAAGAGGACACTTGAAAGAGAGAGAAAGAGAGAAAGACTCTCTTTAGCACGCTTTTCGCTCGCTGGAGGGTAGGCAAACAATGAAGAGTCCCGTCCGTGGCTCGTTTGAAAGCGCGCGACAGAATGCACCTTAGGACGGCAGCTCGTGAGAACGCAGCTCCCGGTGGCGTTAGTAAGAAGGATTGACTCTAGGACGGGAACGAAAGGAGCAATGGAAACGGGATCGTCATGGCGTAGGAAGGGAATGACGACGGCGACGATACCTCGGCAGCGCGTTTAAACCTTTTCACGTGCATTTTCGCGGAAGACACTTTGTGGTCCGTCTCTGCGCTCGGCGAAGTCGAAGAATGCGCATTTTTCTCCCTCTCTTTCTCTTCGGAGGAACCGGGAATAGGTATTGTATCTGTACGACTTCCGTGGATGGGCGAGGGTATGGGCTGGTCGCATTGAATAATGCGAGCGAATAAGCCGAAATGCCAAAGGTAAAATTGCGGAGAAATGAATGAAACGCGAAGACGGGAAGAATGGAAAAAAAATTCTTATTACATTCATCAATTCACAAATAGGACGCGCTCGCCACGAATTTTATAGCAATCTCCACACAGTGTGGGAAAACGTTTCATATTTATCCGACGAAATTTATTAAAAACGATAAAATCGTGTATGTGTGTGTGCTTTTCGCACCGAAAAGTGCTACGAGACGCGATAAACCGAGTCAAAACGGTATAGAAAGAGACACGGGACAGCGCAATAATATCTTCGTCGCCAGCCAGTTCCGCTCGCTTGCATCTGGTACAAAGAGTTATTGTCGCGATCGCACGCCCCCGTGTATTTATTGTATCCTTTCGCGGGCAATATCGCTCGAGAGTTTTCGGTCAGCGTCTCGCATGGGGAAAAACGGCAGCGACACGTATCCGTCTCTGCGAGAGACCCGTATCAAAATGCCGAGAGGAGGCATTGTCGCGGTAACCGAGCATTTTTCATGTTCGCCTTTCTCGAGGAATAACGTCCCGAGACCGCGACAGCGCATGGTGCATGTTCCCTGGAAAATAGAGGGAACGCATTGAACAAGAGGTGACCGTATAACCATGCCATGATAGAAGTATCACGGTGTGAAACACAACTGAAAATTGAATAAGCTCGTGTATAAAGGCGATATTAATTGGATATATTGTAGCGAAAAAACTTATACATCCAAAATGTTGGAATCATTAATAAAACATATAAATCCCTTTTAATAAATTAAAATATTTTTCCCGTATTCATATATTCGTGTAAAATACGTATCGATTTTGTAAACCGAATAATAAATCGCATAAGCAGAATGTGAAGGAGTTATTTGAAATAATATATATCGAATAAAAATGTGATCAAGTTTCTCTTATTTTTACTGCAAGTCGTATAAATTGTGGTATTTTAAAGAAACAATGTTAATGGTCATTACACAATTTTCTTTTTCATTAACTCTCATTCACTTTATATTCATGTTTTTCATTGTCTCTCTTCTTTATTCTCTCGTTCCAAATTATAGAGTTGTGTCCCGCGAAAGCAAAAAGATATCAATGAGAATATAAATGGAGAGAATATAAATCGAGCAGCGCATTGCAAGTTCTTCCATTCTACATCAAAAGTTCTCCTATGTATATTAAAAGTTCACACAGAGACTTTTCGTTCATGCATTTATAAACGGCTTTCGATCCCTCAATATATTCTTCAATACGCTCATACTGCATGCATGAATCACTTGTACATGCAGATGGGCAAAAGTACAAAATAACGAATACGTTGTGAATATAATATCATATTACTCTCAAAAAAAAAAAAACTTTCAGAGAGAAATGAAAATTTTTGTTAAATATTCCATTTCATATATTATTTTCTAAAAATTTTTATAGATTTACATATCTCTTCTCTCTCTCTCTTTCTATTTTGTAAGAAAATTATTAAAAGTTATTTGATTGAATCAGGTAGCTTCGAACGAATAGATAGTAGAACGGATAAATGTTTTCTTAATGGAAAATTAGCTTTTCCCGAGGCTCTTCGAGGCATCATCACTGAGCGAAACGGAAATCAGCGTTAAATAGATGGTCTCGTAATTAATGGTTTTATTATCGGAATCAACGAACTCGGCCAGTGAAAAATGGACAGCGGAAAAAGTGGAGCAGTTCTCGCTGGTGCATTCCAAATCCATTACTATCAGGCGACAGCTCAGGGAATACTCTTACTAACCTGATTTTATCCTTGTTTTTCGAAAGATGCCTGGCAAAATGAATCATTTCTGACGTACTAATTTTAACTTAGTCTGGTGTTAATGAAATGTCGCTCTTAATTATTTAATGCAAATTCTTATCGAACTTCAATTTGGATTTTACTGTATATTGCTATATTTGATAAAAAAGTGAAAAACGTAATTTTGTATATTCTCTTTTCAATTTGTGAAAATGTCATATAAAATAATATATAATTCTCATTTCTCAAAATAAAAAATGTAAAATTCTGATGGACATATTATAATAAGAGTTACAAAACAATACAAATAAAAATTGTTGAATTTAATGTGTAAAACAGAATCATATATATTTATTCAGTATGAGGATCGAGTTACGTCGTGTAATTATGAAATTTCATTAACGTCTACTGTTGTTAACTTTTTTTTAGCTTTAATATCATTAATATTTTATTTTATTCAGAATAATTCGCACAGACACAATCCGAGCTTTGAAATAACTAAAATAATTACACAACGTTATATAATTTTATTTCGATCTGTTTTAATTGTATAAAATGCAGCACTCTCTTTACATCGATCTTGCGATGAAAGCAAATCGACTGTGATGCGCATAATTGTGCATAATTACATGTAATAGTCAACAATCGAACGTATTCAGAGCAAACAATGCATCATACGTTCGTGATGAGTTGCCGCGTTTTCAAATCGTTAATATCAATGAGATCCCTCTCATTACCCGTCCGCCAAACGCAAAAACCAGAGCAATTTAATCATCCCGCCGAGGGAGACACCCAGTATGTGTTCCGCTTGACTAACGAGCGTCCATCAGACAACTCTTTCGTCTTCATTTGAAGTGGACGTGCACACGAGACGAGACCGAACTTCGAAATTAACTTCTCCGTATCCTTTTGCCAAGATCATACTCGAACGCGCCATGATATACAGGGTGCCCGATGTTCTGTCGCGTTAAATCTTAATTCGTTGGAAATTGAAAAGTTGCGAACAAATAATAATAATGCGATGATTTTCGATACAAGATATATTTCACGTAAGTTTCGCTGAATCTACCATTAAAATTTAATGCGACATTAAAACATCACACGATGCACAGAGACACTCTGCATAATTAATATTTTGCGACTAATTAATTTAAAAAATGTTTTTGCGAATCTTTTATAGGTATACAGAGAAGGGCTTAATAAATTTCTCGAAATAAAGTTTTATATTGAACTCTCCTCACAAGAGGTTCTGATTTCATCGAACACTTGTGCGTCCCAAAGGACGGCGAGCGATATCCGCGAATTACGCTGCTATTTTACAAACTGAAAAAGTGGCTACATTACCCTGTGTTTATCGACGTGCACCGGTCTCAAGTGACGATCGAAGAGCAACTTGTCCGGCTCGATGTTGATAGGACTCTGCCGCCTTCCTTTGCTGCAGAGGGACCACTGCGGATTTATCAGGCCCCAAAACGAAGGTCCTGCAAATATAAATAATAATATTCTTTAATAAAAGTGAGAAGAGAATTCTCTTCTTCCTTGCGATTAAAAAAAAAAAAACTTGAAAAAAATAAGAAAATAAAAACGCGATTGTATATTATATAATGAAAAAAAACTTTGAAAATTCCAGCAGAGAGAGAGACAGAGATAAGAATTGCAATTAGACAACAAAATATATAGTTCCCCGTAGAAAATATCTCGAAGAACGTACTGAGGGTGAATTTCATCCAGAAATATCAGTCAGAAATTTTGAACTTGTATCGCGTATCTCCGAGCATCCGGCAGAAACTCGGTCGTGAAGTCCCGAGAGGGAAGATTCTTATTTTCTCTATTTGAGTATGAATCGTCGTGTCACGTGTCAACCGCTCGGAAATCTGAAATTTTTATAATTTCAACTTTTCCAGCTGGTCGCGCCGGCCGGTCCGTCCTCTGTCCAGTCCGCGTCAAGTTTCGCTCGGTAAAAGGGATTTTGAACTCGTTTCGCCAGCTTCGTACGCCAGGGACCGGCGCAATCCCCTCCTTCTTTTCCCTCCGATACTTTCGTCTTAGGGAGCGTTCGCGTTTTCCGGCACTCCTCTGAGAAATTTAACTTTCTTCTCCACGTCGCTGTAAGAATCGATATCCTGAAAAAGCCCGGCTTAACGAATCCTCGCTCGCGAAACAGGAATTACATTCTCGCGGAAATTGCGTGCGAAATGTTGAAAATTAAATTGAATGTCTGTACTAAAACTACGCGAAGAGTACTGTCAAGTATTGTCAAACAATATATAATTATATACGCGAGAATCGACGTAAAAGTTTAGCCTTCACTCATATTGACTTTTGTATACTTATGTCTCTTCCGTATATATATCTCCTCCAACAACTCGATTTATCACTCTATACGCCACAACTTTAACAAAAGTTATAAGTCATCCTCTTAATCTACTCGTCCCTCTCTCGCAGGGGATAACAAACAGACTCCTATGAAATATTCTCGCCTTGAGCGAAGCTTCTCACGCTTCTTATACATATTTCTTTTTTTTCGCAGAACCGTCGTCGACGACTCTCACGAGACGCCGCTACAAAAGTGGACAATGAATTATTAGTCGTATAAACAATTGATACGAAACAATGCCACAATCTGACAAGGTGACACTCAAAAGATACATTGACACTATCCAAGATATTATTTGTATCTTATTGTACACAAAATGTTCTAAAAATGCGGACTTGCTTAATCTTAATTAATTCGTTTGCAAAGCTGTATCACACATATATCATTTATGATTCAATTACATCAATTAAGATAATTATGATGTTAAAATGTGACAATGTAAAAACTTTTATTTGTAGTATAATTACAAATCTCTTCTTAATAATATTGTAACAATTCAATTTTAATTTTTCAAATTTCAAATTGAATCAAAAAAGCTCCTTTAATTTCCATATTTATAAAAATCATTGTATATAAAAATATATTCCTATAATAGTATAATTATATTATTGATTGCTTGTCACAATTATCTCGATCCACCTCGATGCTTTCAATAAATGTAGATATTCCTATATTAGATATGAGAGAATCAACACGTGAAGTTGTACAATTTTAATTTTTCAAATTTCAAATCAAATTAAAAAAGCTCCTTCAATTTCCATATTTATAAAATTCATATGCAAAAATATTATTATTCCTACAATATTATAGTATAATTATATCATTGAATGTTGTCACATTCGTGTAGCGTCACAATTATCTCACTCCATCTCCGTCTCAATAAATGTCGATATTCCTATATTAGATATGAGAGAGTCAACACGTGAAGTTGCACAATTTTAATTTTTCAAATTTCAAATCAAATTAAAAAAGCTCCTCCATATTTATAAAATTTATATATATATATGCAAAAATATTATTATTCCTACAATATTATAGTATAATTATATCATTGAATGCTTGTCACATTCGTGTAGCGTCACAATTATCCCGCTCCACCTCCGTCTCAATAAATGTAGATATTCCTCTATTAGATATGAGAGATTCAACACGTGAAGTTGTACAAGACCATAAATTTCGAGGCATCTCATACACACGCACACACATGAGCAATGAAACAGCACATGAGCTTCGGAAACGCGTTTGCGTTTCCGAAGCTCATGCGCTAACGCTCAGAATCAGGATCCACTGTGTTAAAAGGGAGGGAGGCGATGACACGTAATGACATCTCGGCACGCAAACATAATCAAAACTTATGAGCCCAATAAACATGTGCGTATCGGCGAGCCTTCGTACGAGTTCACGCACGTATACATGACCCGCGTGTGCGACGACAACGATATATCGACACTTTAGCGTCGTAACAGCGGCGCAATTAGTCCCATTGTAATTAGCATCCTCGCTCCGGAAGCCAACTTTTACCTTTCATCTTGTCGCACGCGAGCTGTCTGCGCACGACACGCGTGATTCGTTTCATCGAACGAAACTCATTAATTAAAAGATTGTAACAAGCAACGTGTGTATATATATATGTATGTACGTAAGTCGGCCTATCCTTTCGTCCGGAGATATTAAAATAAAAGTAAAGGGGAAAAAAGCAAAATGTAAATTGATTTTGTTATATCGTTAAAAGCGTAACGTAGCATTTGAAAAATGTTTACTTCCGCTTGTGATTTCAATCATTAAATGCTCGCCCATAATCCATAAATCTCAATTGATTGCAGCTGAGTGAAAAATGGATTGATGGGGGAGAAGAGAGATATTATTTTCTGATTTGTTATTTTGTGCGGTCAACTCGTTATATATTTCGCTCTTTACAACTCGCGCACACTTGATTCCTTAATATAAAAAAAGAGAGAAAGAGGGAGAGAATTCACTATTGCAATTCTGTATCACATGTTCTCCGCCGCGTTCTCGCCTTTTTCCGCGATGGAATTTATGTCGAGGGAAATGGCACGCCATCGCGCTAGCCACGCAAAAGTTTATTAAACGACGCACGCGGCTCGTACATACACACACATACATCTGCATACGTATGTAAACGCTTTCCTCTTTCATTCCGGTCGATTCGTTGCGCAACATTTGCGCGCTGCGGTACACCCGATTTCATCCGCAATCGCAATCTTCGCCATATTTCTTCGTTATCGCGTGTATATAACGGCGATGCATATATATAGAGCCAAACACGCCCTCTTTGCGTCTATCTACTTACGATCGTCGCGTTATATGGATCCGCGATTTATTCGATTAAGGTTCTCTCTCAAATGCACGACCGCGTCGATTATGCGTGCGAGCACGCGACTGCTCCGGGTCTTTTCGGATATTTTGTTGCGATCCAGATCCTCTTATACGCTACTTAGCATAATAAACCGCGTGTACGTGTATAGGTATACTCGAAAAACACGAAATAATCATATGTACTCGGAAAAACGGTTTTTATATATAACGATATAAAATTATAGAGAAATATATCCATACATAATTAGATAAAGTGCTTTTTATATATAATTATATAAATTTATATATATATGAACCCTTATAAAATTTTTTTCCCGAGCTTATACGCTGCTTAACATAATATACCGTGTGTACGTGTGTATACGTTACTCGAGGAATACACAAAATAATCATACGTACCCTGCGAAACATGTATATGTCACGAGAAATAAGAGTGTTGGGCCCCTTTCCATTTACGACATTTATAGACGTCGTAACATTTTTCAGTTTATTAACTCGTAAACTTATCAACGTGATCGTTTATTTTTTTTTCCTTTTTCTCTCTCGCTCTCTTCAGCGGGAGATTGATCTAACGTAGTTAATATAAAGCGATAAATTTGTTATATTTGCAGGGAAAAATGAAATCCTCGTAAGAGGCAAACCGTTTCCAGAATATAAATTATTCCGCAAAATACCGCAACGAGATATATTATATTAGCTTTATTGCACTTTGTACAATACATTACGCATGACAACGAATTATTAGCTCACGGAAAAGCATCGTACATTGTATGTATGTGTACCGGACGTGTAATCTACTATTGGATTATAGTTACACGAGCAGCGTTTAAATCGATTCACACCAGTGGACGATCGGACCTAAACCACACTGGACCGTATTCTATTAAATTAAACCCATTGTTCTTCGCGAACATAGCTACGTTGTATCGGGCCGAGAACAGACCAATTTAAAGCCACGGAACTCAATTAGAATCGATCACACACATTCGATCGTATTGTTTCGTCAGTTTGAGGGGTCGAATTGATTTAATCAGTTTGAACGTAATTCACAAAATTCTTATAACTGTTAGAGAATGAATCCAAATTTTCCAACTGGAATAAAAACGAATATCGATTGTGAATCGATTCAATCGCGAATAATGATGCATTTGACGTATAATAATAATTTGTATTACACGTGCAGGCAAAGTGGCACTTTGTGTGCGTGTTTTCTGTGCGGAAAGCGGCCGATTTCCCACGCCGCCATCTAGCGGCGACGCGGTGAGTGAATAGCTGCATTCAAAGCCATTGCCTACGGCTGAGCCGCGTTCAAAGTCATTGCCCACGGCTTTAGCCGTGGGCAATGACTTTGAACGCGGTTATTCTCACACCGTGTCGTTGCAAGATGGCGGCGTGCGATCGGCCATCTCGCGCACAGAAAACGCGCACAAAGCCACTTTGCCTGCACTTGTAATACAAAATAGTATGTGTATCAAGTTCGGAAAGTTGACAATTGGTCACGAGTGCGGGGGATGAACGCACGAGCCGAAGGCGATTATACTATTATAGAATATACTATTATAGATCATAATATATGCAGCCTCTCTTTATGTATACAATCTTTTGCATAAATCGCGAAATATAATATTTAACAGCTTCAAAAAAATTCGATCATCATTACAAGGTAACATGGAATATAATTGCTTATCGATAATTCGCACGTAAGCAGAGAACATCGCCACTGTTATGCATTACAAAGTTTTATTACGTGACTGTAATTTACAATTC